CTCCTGCTTAAAACACAACACAAACTATAGTTGTAGAAGTACTTAAGTAATATAAATCTTCATCTCTATAAACAGATATCTGGATATGTAATCAGAATCTGCAGAGCAACAGTACATGATTTTGATATCTGAAGCGTTCTGGTTTCTGTTCATAGTCGGAGTAGTACATGACTACTCATAGTCGGAGTAGTACATGACCAATCATGTTTGAATGGTAGGAAAACACTGGCTCCGCACCATTACAATGCTGGTGTACGCTTGTGGTGTGCCAAGGAGGCGGAGTCTGCACACCATTTTGCAGTTATTTTTGCCGGATCTGCTGCTAAATTAGCCATGACACCGGCGTTCATGTCACCAGTTAAGTTTGTGCCATATTATCTTGTTCACGATAATGCCGGTATATTTTTAATATTGTATGAAAAATGATACCATGATACTTGCGATATTTCGACTTGTTGACACAATGACATCATACTGTTACCCACGACAACAACGAGCATGGCTGAAAACAAAATTATTCCTGACTCTGCAGTGGTTCCAAGAAGAGGAGCAGCTTCAGTAGTTTGAAATAAACTGTGGCGTTCTGAATGTTTTATGAACAGCCCCGGACTTCTAAGACTCTTTTAGTGACTTACCGCTCAGAGGGAACTCATTCAGCGGCTCCTCTGGCAGCAGCACAGCGTCTCTCCCTCTCCTCTCTCGCCATGTGTGCACAGGAGTCGGTTTTGTCACATAATTTTGACGTAAAACTTTGGTAATGTAAACCTCTGTGACGCTCGCGGCTTGACAGAAAAGCTACATATATGTGAATGTGTGATAGTTTTGGTATCATAACAGCCTGTTACAGGTTACAGCGTGATGATTAGAGGAGACATGGCAGAGCATAAAGGTCCAGGTGGAAAAGAAACAACAACTCAGTTATTTAGGATTTTGCTAAATGGAGGAAATCACCTGTTGATTTATATATATAGATCCCAGGGGACATTATTTGTATTTGGGAGCTGATTAAATGTGTAATTTGTGGTAGATTTTATTTTGTTGAACTATTAATATTGTATACAGAATCTGAATCTCACTCTGAGTTACTGTTGTTGAGTCCTACTGTTAGTTTTACTGAATATTTGAAGGCAAACTTAAAACTATATCGGTCATTAATAATAAAATATTTTTGTTTTTACTAACTTTCCATATCGTGAAGAAAATATCCCAAAAATACTTTGAAATATCCTGATATTATTTTAGGGCCATATCGCCCACCCCTATCACCAATACCATACAGCCTATACAAACACAAGTGAAGCGTGACTGATGAGACAGAACTGATGGACATCATTCAGGCTTACATAAGATTCACGATTAAAGAGGCTTTATTGTCAGTTCTACAGTTATGTACAGACATACAGAGATCCAGACAACATTTCACTCTGACTTGACCCATGATGCAGACAGTGCAAAAGGATAAGTATAGAGTAGAAGTGATAATACAAAATGAAAATAAATAGGAGCAATCAAGTAGTGCAAAGATGTAACTGCAAGCAATTCAAATGTGCAAATATTTAACAATTTGAATAGCAGCTTTCATACCAGGCAATAACAGTAAAAGGTGAATGAATATCTGAGTTAGTTCTGGTTCTGGTAAAATCACATTGTAAACATTACTGCCAATGCAAGTGATTATTTTTCAATCAGCAATGCTACCTTGGCTTTTGCCCTCCAAGCTAACCTTGTTGTTGGTTTTGTCAGCTGTCAATTACTTGGTTGCTACCACTGGCTAACAGATTTAACCATCCCTCGCCATTATGTGTGAAGCAGTGCACCGGTGCACTAAAATGGAGTGGACCCAGTCCCTTTGGAGAGCAAACAAAGCGGAACATAATGGCCGAAATACAATCTCAGAGATGATGATTTAGCTTTTCATTAGCTTCTTATTATCATTAATATGCAGATATCTTTTTTATAGGGATTAGCTGAAATGGCCGATGCATGTAAGAGAAAGTCTTTGCCCCATATATCTGCTGGCTACAGTGGACCCCCCAGTATTGCCCCCAGAGGCCAATCGTTGTCAGACCAATAGCTGATGGGTTTTGAGATTGTTTAAATCTCAAAAGGTTTTGCAGGGCCACTAAATTTTATTTCAAATTGCTGCACCGTTGTTATGTCTCTAAATTCAATTTATTGAAAGAACTGTCTTGTTAAATGTGTCGAATTCTCATTTTTGTTCAGTGCAAGAAAACATTTTCCAGGAGTGCTTTGCGGAGCCATGGAGCATTCTCTTCCCTCTCTTACACCTGTCCCATGTTTATACAAGCTGTAATGTTTGACCGCTCAGATGGAAGGTCAGCTGAAGGTGGATGCAGCAGCAGTGTTCGATCTGTGGCTGGCCAAAGGATGTGTTGATGTTGCAGAACAAGATTGCTTTAGGCTACCACTGGTACTGACCTTGCATATGACCATAAGATCAACTAGGAAACCTTGGACTGTGGCACAGTGGGATGTCTAGAAATTCACAACAAGCCCATGGATAATAGATTGCCTTATGACAGAGCAGTCAAATTAGCCTGCAGGCTGTCTTGAAACAAAACATGAATTGAATGCCACTTAATTCCTGGAATCAACAGCAGTGAGTTAATCGAGGTGATCGTGGGTGAACTTGTATTAGATGCTCAGTCAAGGCTGCAAAGTTCCTAAACAGGTATCACGGTTTAGTTTCAACCACATCACCTCTGCTCAGTGAAGAGGAATCATCTCAAATGAGAACAGTAGGTCTGATCCAAGCCACGCTGTCTATTACACCCAATTGTTTGCCATTATCCCCACTTGTCTGCCATTCAAATTTCCTTGAAGGGAACGTAGAAAAGAATGTTCTCGGCATCAGGGGATCAGTGGCGTCAGTGATGTGTGATTCCTCCCGAAAGCTCCGCGGGGTACAGTTGTTTCCCCTGAATACAAAAGACAGCGGCATCACAAGCAGGCTGCAGCATACCTCTAGCTGACGAAAGCAGCCAGAGCTGTCAGCGACATCACTCACGCCGCGCTCCCACCCTCCCAAACCCGCCACCGCCTATGCAAACTATCCCGCTGGAATAGAAAATAGTACAGGCCCATGTCTTTTATGGAAAGGCAGGATGTGAAATATTGCATACAGAATTCGGAGGCACTGAAGGCTGTTGACACAGAACCGCTGTGAGTTCAAGCTGTGTGAAGCCACGGAGCCGCAGACTTCCCTTTCATTTGTAAAGTACGGCACGTTAAAGACAGCTTCACCTCTGGCTGCACTGATCATTTATAGTTGACGAGGAGGGAGGAAAATCTGGCAGAGATGCACTTCTGAATGTGTGTGTGTTTCTGTTAGGGAAATGTACTTGTGTGTCAGGGTGCCTGCATGTGGAATAAGAAGTTCATGCTAATAGCATTACCTCATCAAAAATGACAGTACTCTGAAAAGGCATTACCAACAGCAGAAAACACTCCAAGAGAGATTGAGTCAGGGCACGGCCCAGACTTGGCTCAGCCCTATTGTGCTAGCTCAGAGAATGAGAAAGCGGCATCCATTTTTGCCTTAATGAAGTTAGTGACCCTCTGAAAGGTGACACATTTACCGCCCAGGGGATTTATACACTCCTGCTCCAAGGCTCCAGTTCAATATGGAGAGGACAGATTTGACTCCACGTGGGCACTCCAAATATATACTCACAATTTATACCAGGCGATTCATTTTCAGACACTGCTCTCATAATTAAAGTTGACGCTGTGCTATTCAATCTGCAGTCGCACGGAAATACAGGAAAAAAAAACAAAAACGAGTGCATTGGGCTGTTATACAGCAATCTAGATAGTTTTGGGGAGGCCGGACTGCTATCACTAACGTGGAGTAATCAGAATATTCATTTTGTTGAATGCCATAAAACAACAAACAAGGTGGCGAGAAAATTTGCAGATGTTTGCGGAATAGAATTACACAGAGCATGCAGAACTCGTGTGCGTGAAGGAAATAGTCGTCCCTGCGTACTGGGGTCTGAGGCCACTTAATTATTTATAGCATCCTTACTTATGCAAATATACTAAATAATTTCTACATGACAGCTTGAAGCGGAGGCCTAGAGGAGCGATGTGATGTTTGAATGAGGACCCCTTTCTCCTTTGCATGGCCTAGGAAGCATAATACTGCAGGCTCCTGGTTGCCTTGGTGCACACTGTTTTACATTCTAATTATCCGGCTTGACAGGCTTTATTGCCGAGGCTCAATGCTGAGGCCTCATCCCAGACTCATTCCACATGTGATGTCAGTGCCGGGATAATGAGATAAGATAGTTTGAGTGCTTAGCCTTGCCCAGTCGCCTCCTCGTTTGTTTTTTTTCTTCCCTTCCGTGCATGCAATCTACACGCTGCCACAATTAGCCATGTATATTAATCGTACCTGAATATGCTACAGATGCTCACATGATCCTAGAATGAAGGATTTCTTTTCACACTGTTTGAGAGTTTTTATTTGACTGGATTTATTTTGGATTCTGAAAGATCAGATGGGTTTAAGGGCGAGGGTGACAGTGATTAAAATAAACAATGCTTTGTTAAGATGTTCATTAAATATTTAACACAATAAAGCCAATCCAACACACAGACAGCGAGACCATTTTTTTTTCTGTCTCTAATTAAGCTACAGGGAATTCCTTGCATATTGTAGGTAAACAGACGGAGTCCTGGGAATACCACTGGAAATTAAATGCTCTGCTGGTGTTTTTCTCATTACAAGATGAAATGAAACATTTATCACTGACTTTTATGTCGTTGAAAGCCTGACATTTTGCGGGTCACCCACTGATAAGGCGACAACTTTCTTCTGTTTACATTATGACTCATGAGTTCTTCCGGTGCTTTTAAGGCACCCCCGTCACATCGTCGCGTTCCAGCTGCACTCCAGCTCTGACCTGTTGGATTAACTGTGTTGTTTTCTTCTTTCTCTCTCTCTCTCCTTTTTTTTTTTTTTTTTGTTCTCGCAGCCATCGAGGTGAACTTGCAGAAAGCCTTGGCTGAGGCCTCTGAGACCTGTACCCAGGAGTGTCTGATACTGGGCCACTCCGACAGCTGCTGGATGCCCCCAGCCCTGGCCCAGTTCCAGGGTTCTGGCAACAACAGCCCCACCTCCACCCCTATCACCACTGCAATCGCCGGTACAATGCCCTCCTTTGGCTTCCAGCAGAGCTGCGCCCGGGGAGCCAAAGCTAACATGATGAGCATGGGGGTCATGGATGGTCGCCATACCCTGGGCAGGTCTGTGCCCAAAAAAGATGAACTGGACAAAGGGATCAGCCGCCCGCAGTTCTACAACACCCTGGATAGACACTGCAGTAAGAAGGAGGACCCCGTCAAGGTCATCCCCCTGGCGAGCTTCTCCTCCCCCGGGCAGCAGACGCCCGGTGGGGGTAGCAGCTCTTTCTTACACGAGCACCAGCTGTAAGAGTGAAAGACAGATCTCCATCACCCTGACATACATGTGACTCAGTCCATAGACGGCTTGTTGTCAGTGACTTTATGAGCAGTATGTATGCGTACGCGTGGAGGTATGCATCATTTGAATAACTTTGTCCAGCTCCAGCTCAGTTTTACTAATGAAGACATCCGAGAATGGATTCGATCACGATGTTGTTGTTCAGACAAAATCACCTCGGATCAGTCTGACAGATTACGCATTTGAAAGGAAATGTAGGTTTTAACACAGCAGGCCCATGTATAATACATAAAGGTAGTTCTATACCAAAGTAGTTCCATCACAGAAAAAAAAAGAAGAATTTTTTGCTTTCAGTTCGGTGATGTTTGCTTAGTGATAAGAAAGGGCAGTGTACGCTTTAAGCTTCGGGCCCAGCTTAGTGGAACTGTGTCCTTAAAGACCATTTATTTGCGCAGAAACACTTGCAAATACAGTGCTTTGTGTTGAGTGGGCTAAATCAGGCTAAATGTTAATTATGAGCTCTGGGTGGATGGTGTTTCTGTTAAGTTCTAGTGAAGTATTGCTCTGTATAACACGCAGCACAAACTCCTTTGGTGGTAGAAGATGTTTCTTTTGTCTCGTCTGAACGTGTTTCAGAAGTCTATTTTGGTCAGGGGACTGCAGAAGGATAAAAAAAAAAGTCTACAAAGCATAACCAGGCCAATGGTAGACAACACCGGTAATCTTTTGCATTCTACATTCTCACCGTGGACCAGCACACAAAATATAACAGAAAAAAAAACAACAAAAAAAAAACTCCTGCACATACACACACACACCCAAGATGTTTTCCATATGGTGGTTGCTCCATCTCTGCCAACTCTATTAAGAAAATGTTCACTCCTTGCATTATCTCAGCAGCTTAGCCTTGAAAGGCGCAGACAGATGCGCTTTGGAAATGTACCCTTTGTTTCCTTCCCTTTGTTTCTATTTCTCACATTTTGCTGCTCAGAAACACTCGCATAATAACAGCTATGGAGCCAATTATGAAATTCTCAGTCTAATTACTTTGATGTGTGATCTCAGTAGCGACCCTTATTGTGGTTTGGAGGTCTGGAATGGTTCTCTTGGCTAGCCAGAAACTTGCTCTGCACGTGCCGAGGCAATGAAAAGGTGACAAGCGCTCGGAAAATAGCAGCTTGAAAAGCTCCCTCATTTCCAATCATATCATTAATATCACCTATTGTTCTTGCTATTAATTACCACTGTGTGTTGTCATACAAGTCCATTTGGCTGCAAAGTTTCTATTAACAGTTTTTACAACAGTGTGTGTTGACACTGGGATAATAGACCAGGGTGCAAGAATTTCTCTGGAGCCCTGAGTCTTACTGAATTATTGATGTGAATGTTTTTTTGCAGTTATCATAAGGGTAGGCATTGGCACCATTTGAAAGGACCTCCCTGCTGCATCACTGCCTGTGTGTGTAAATCGGACTGATGATGATAACTACTTCAGACTAACTTGCTGCTGTAACAGATTGGGTGCAGGATAATCTATTGCTACAGCAATAAGTGACTTTGCTGATATCCATTTTTCTCTCCTGTAACATCCAAGCCAGGTGTCTACATCATCAGGTATATGATTCATGCGGTTCATTTTCTTGTACCATCTTGCAAATTGGGAACAGGCCTAAATCTATAATGCAACGTGGCATTCTCGAGGGGAAGGCGCAAGGCAAATTGTGTTTGCATGCTCTTAGCCGCCGCACCTATTCTCTCTGATAGTTGGGGTCAGGACTCTTATCATTATAAAGAGGATTTATCTGAGAGTCAGTGAAATGATCACTTAAAGGAACACTGTGTCAAGGACACGGAAAAAGGGGCAATTCAATTTCACCTCAGTCAATTACCAAAATGAATCTAATTCAAAACAAGCAACTTAAATAAATTCTCCTGCAGTATAAACATACCCCGGCTTGGGAATCCAATTTCAGCTCATTTAATACCACTCTTTCTCCCCCCCATCACTTTCCATCATTGATACTTTGTCATGTATCACCAAACGGTTGAAACAATACATATTTAATCAAAAGGAGCACATATCAAAGGGAGCATACATCAAGATGTCACTGAAAATCTGAATTTTATCACTCTGACAAATGCAAATCCAACACTTGTTTTTATTTTTACTCCAAATGCCGCCTCAAAATAAAATCCTTTCAGTGTCTGTTTACAATTATGTGGGGAAAAGTAGGGCAAAGAAATTCCTGGTTGGATGTTTTCCAACAAAAATAAAGCTGAAAAATAACAATTAAGTTCTTAAAAAAAAAAAAAAAATCCCCATTTTACAAGTACAGAGATGATCTGCTGCTGTTGGGAAAAATGTGCCCTTCCTCATATCACAGAGGGAGAGATATCCATGACATGAATACGGAATAATACACTGTCACACTGTATTTTTAAAAAAATGTGATTGTTTGAAATAATTTATCTGATCACACGTGTACAGTAAGCACAATATTACCTTTCTGTAACCCTCACTGTGTTTGACTCTGCCTACATAACTCCTGTGTATTGTAATGTTGCAGCAGCTACATTAATTGAAAGACTACTTCTAGTGGGAGTAGAAGAATAACTGCATGAATGTACATCTGTAGGATGTTGCTTTTGATACCGACATGACTTTTTTTGTCTGCTGCGGTCCTATTTTGTTCAATTATGCAATTCTAGAGGTAAAAGAAGTGTTTTTATTTATTTATTTCTCCAACAAAGAGCATACCATACGAATGTGCATTTGTTTTTTTTTATTATTTTGGAGGGGCTCCCCTGAGTAAGTGGTGTTCCTCTGTATCAAAGGTTTTCATCTTTAACAGTGAAATTGACAAAAAGTGGAGGGTGATGATCACGGGTTTTCACTTTGCATGATTCTGCTCTCACTGTCCCATTTTTCTAACTCCCTCTGCCCTCAAAGTAAGGTTACTATACATACAACTGATTGCTTTTTTTTATTTTTCAGAATTTTTCTATTCAAAAACTTGTGTCACGATTACCATGTCAAGGTGTGTCATGATTTGCATGAACTGTTTGGACCTCCACAAGGCGTTTTCTAACACCTGACTGTGTGATTCATGCATCCATCATTAGATTCAGTGTCAGTATTGATGTTTACTGCTCTACCTGTTTGTCTGTCTTATGGAACTAAACAAATGTTACACGGTGTACACATTCGAACTCTGTGACGTGTGCGTGCCACTTATGCCTCCGCGTACACACAAATATCTATACCGTCAGGTAAACTGGATTTTAAACTGTACATAGCAGTACCCCTGAGAACTAGTAATAACGATTACACACTGGAAAGACACATACAGTAAAGACCACAGGCTAAATACTGGAATTCGCTTTGTTGATAAAAAGGAAAAAGGGAAAACATAAGAAGTGATGAGATGACAATCTCGCTTGTAATGTAAATGGATACATATGCATAATATTGACGAGAGTGTGTCTGAATGTGTTTATAGGTGATCTTGTATGTTTGTGAGGGGAGAGTGTGTGTGTCTCCTTGCATGTATGAGCGTGCGTGTGTGTGTGTGCACATATGTGTGTACTGGCATGCACCTTGCCAGGATATTTTATGTACACAAATGTATCTTGTACAAAAACTATATCAAAATATGATATAAGACTTAAGTATATGCTTGTAAATCAGTCATCGGTGAGTCAGGTTGAGTTTTGCTTTGGGAGAAGGCTTCAATGCTTGCCAGCGAATCTGTATTGGTCAGTTAAAGCTATACAGTCTGTGTTGTCATGCCTTTGTAAGATATCCCATTTAAATCTATGAAAAAAATGACCTTCAATATGGTGAAATGATTTTTCTTGTCATTGAATTTTACTTCAGCCATTAAATATTGAGTCCTCAAAGTACACACGGATCCCGCGTGTCCTTCACTTTACATTGTTGTTTGATTAGGTTTTTCTGAGAGTGCGGTCGTGTCAGTTATAGATGTAACATGAGAGCATACTGTCACTGTATTCCAATTATGGCAATTACAAGATAATGATATAAGACCCATCAAATTGGACATGGCATTTCACCTTCATCATTTCTGGAATTAATACCCCTGCGGAAACAACTCCAGCCTGTGACATTTATGTGTATATTTATGGGAAAAGGGGAAAAAATAACCATTAATAATCATGTTTTGGAGCACAGATACCATAAAGATTAGACACAAATAGGAGTTTTATTTTCACACTTCCATAATCATTGAATATTTTGTAAATATTACAGCAAAGTATGAGGGAAACTGGAGCGTAATTAAATTACTCTTTGGGTAAACGAGTGTTTTTACACTCTGATAAGGTGCATAAAATGTGGCACCATTCCATGTTATGTTCCAGCACCATTGTAAATGTATAAAACAAAACAGAACAAAACAAATACTAAATTACGATGAATAAAAAGGCATTTTAAAAAGTTTGACGTATACCATTAAAAATGCCATTTAAACAGTCATAGTATAGTATGATATTATAAAAATTAGAGGATAGTATGCCAAAAACACATGGTATATCATTAAACAATCTAATGCAAACATGATAGTATAATTTGAGTGTAGTATGTCCTAAATAAAGTCATAAAAAGTGTCATAGTACTGTATATAATTAAAAATGTTGGATAACACCATGTCTTTAATAAAGTCACAAAAATATCATAGTATGGCATAGTAAAAAAAGTCATAGTGTAGCATGTAAAAAAGTATCATAATATAGTAAGTCAAAAAAATCATAGTATAATAGGTAAAAAAAATATGTCATAGTATAGCATGTTGAAAAAATATCACAGTATGACATATCGAAAAAATTGTCATAATCATAGTATAGTGTGTCAAAACCATTGTCATAATATAGTATGTAAAAAAGTCATAGTATAGTATGTAGAAAAAAAATTCATAATATAGTATGTTAAAGAATATCATAGTATAGCATGTCAAAAAGTATTATAATATGTCAGAAAAATATCACAGTATAACAGGTCAAAAGAAAAGTCATAGTATAGCATGTCAAAAAGTATCATCATATAGTATGTCAAAGAAATTGTCATAGTATAGTATGTAAAAACATATCATAGTATAGTATGTCGAAAAAATTGTCCTGATAAAGTATGTCGAAAAAATATCATAGTATAGCATGTAAAAAAGTATCATAATATAGTATGTCGAAAAAATCATAGTATAGGATGTCAAAAAAATTGTCATAGTATAGTATGTAAAAAAAATCATAGTATAGTATGTCAAAAAATTGTCATAATATAGTAGGTAAACATCAGAGTATAGTATGTTGAAAAAATTGTCATAATATAGTGTGTAAAAAAATATCATAGTATAGCATGTCAAAAAGTATCATAATATAGTATGTCAAAAAAATCATAGTATAGTGTGTCAAAAAAATGTCATAATATAGTATGTAAATATCATAGTCTAGTATGTCAAAAAAATTGTCATAATATAGTATGTAAATATAGTATAGGATGTCAAAAAAAATTTTGTGATATAGTATGTAAATATAGTATAGGATGTCAAAAAAATTGTTGTGATATAGTATGTAAATATAGTATAGGATGTCAAAAAAATTGTTGTGATACAGTATGTGAATATAGTATAGGATGTCAAAAAAATTGTTGTGATATAGTATGTAAAAAATCATAGTATGGTATATCAAAAAAATTGTCATAATATAGTATGTAAATATCAGAGTATAGTATGTAAAAAAATTGTCATAGTACGTAAAAAAATATCATAGTATAGTATGTCAAAAAAATTGTCATAGTATGTAAATATAGTATAGGATGTCAAAAAAATTGTTGTGATATAGTATGTAAAAAATCATAGTATAGTATATCAAAAAAATTGTTGTGATATAGTATGTTAATATCAGAGTATAGTATGTCGAAAAAATTGTCATAGTATGTAAAAAGAATATCATAGTATAGCACGTCAAAAAGTATCATAATATAGTATGTAAAAAAAAAATCATAGTATAGTGTGTCAAAACAAATATCATAGTATAGCATGTCGAATACACATCACAGTATGGCATGTAAAAAAAGTCATGGTATAGCTTCTCAAAAAGTTTCATAATACGGTATGTCAAATAAATCATAGTATAGTATGTCAAAAAAATCTCATACTATAGCATGTTGAAAACATGCTATAGTATGAGATAGCATGTTGAAAACATATCACAGTATGGCACGTAAAAAAAATCAAAGTATAGCATGTCAAAAAAATCATAGTATAATATGTAAAAAACCACAAACCATAATATGATATGTCGAAAAAATATCATGGTATGGCATGTTATACAAATGTCACAGTATAGCATGTCAAAAAATATTATAGTATAGTGCGTCGACAAAATATCATAGTATGGCATGTTATAAAAATGTCATAATATAGCATGTAAAAAAAATATCATAGTATAGTATGTCGAAAAAAATATCATGGTATGGCATGTTATACAAATGTCATAGTATTGCATGTCAAGAAATATCATAGTATAGTACGTCAACAAAATATCATAGTATGGCATGTTATAAAAATGTCATTGTATAGCATGTCAAAAAATATCATGGTATGGCATTTTATAAAAATATCACAGTATAGCATGTCAAAAGAAAAGTCATAGTATAGCATGTCAAAAATTATCATAGTATAGTATGTCTAAAAATTGTCATAATATAGTATGCCGACAAAATATCATAGTATAGCATGTCATAAAAATGTCATAGTAAAGCATGTCAAAAAGTATCGTAATATAGTATGTCGAAGAAATTCTCATAATATACTATGTCGAAAAAATATCACAGTATGGCATGTCAAAAAAAAAAGTCATAGTAAAGTATGTAGAAAAGTATCATGATATAGTATGTCAAAAAATAAAATACTAAATTTCAAAAAATAAAATATCTTAAAATAATATAATCTTAATATAATATGTCGAAGGAAATGTCATAGTATGGCATGCTATAAAATATCATAGTATAGCATGTCTAAAAATATCATGGCATAGTATGTCTAAAATATTTTTGTTTGGCATGACGAAAAATAACATATTATAGTATATCAAAAAAATATCATAGTATAACATGTCAAAAAAATATGTTAGTATACCATGTTAAAAAAGTCATGGTATGGTATTTATTTTGGATATTTTGGACCTCATTATATACTATGACTTTTTTATGATAATTTGGACGTCATACTATACTATGAATTTTTTATGATATTTTGGACATCATACTATACTATGACTTTTTTATGATAATTTGGACGACATACTATAGTATGGCTTTTTCATGATATTTTGGACGACATACTATACTATGACTTTTTTATGATATTGTCGACATCATACTGTACTATGACTTTTTTATAACATTTTGGACATCATACTATACTATGGCTTTTTTTAAAAATATTTTTTATGAAATACTATACTATGATTTTTTTATGACATATTGGACGTCATACTATACTATGACTTTTTTTTATGATATTTTGGACAACATACTATAGTATGACTTTTGTTTTTGTTTTTTATATTTTTTTAGGGCATTTTTGCCTTTAATTGACAAGATAGTGAAGTGTGACGGGGAGAGAGAGAGAGGGACAGACATGCAGCAAACGGAAACAGGCTGGAGACGAACCTGGCTGCTGCGGCAACACCCTTGTACATGGGGCGCCTGCTCTATCCCCTAAACCACCGACACCTTGACTTTTTTATGATATTTTGGACGTCATGCTATACTATGACGTTTTTATGATATTTTGGATGACATACTATACTATGACTTTTTTATGATATTTTGGACGTCATACTATACTATGACTTTTTTATGATATTTTGGACGACATACTATGCTATGACTGTTTTATGATATTTTGAACGTTATGCTATACTATGACTTTTTTATAATATTTTGGACATCATCGGGGCGTTGGTGGCTTGGTGGTGGGGCGGGCGCCCCATGTGCGGGGCTGTTGCCACGGCGGCCCGGGTTCGACTCCAGCCTCTGGCCCTTTGCTACATGTCATTCCCTCTCTTTCTCCCCTCTTCACACTTGCTGTCCTATCAATTAAAGGCTTAAAAATGCCCAAAAAAAATCTTAAAAAAATATATATATATTTTGGACGTCATGCTATACTATGACTTTTTATGATATTTTGGACGTCATGCTATACTATGACTTTTTTTTATGATAATTTGGATGTCATACTATACTATGACTTTTTTATGACATCTTGGACATCATACTATACTATGACTTTTTTATGATAATTTGGACGTCATACTATACTATGACTTTTTAATGATAATTTGGACGTCATACTATACTATGACTTTTTAATGATATTTTGGACGACATACTATACTATGACTTTTTTATGACATCTTGGACGACATACTATACTATGACTTTTTAATGATATTTTAAACGTCATACTATACTATGACTTTTTATGATATTTTGGACATCATACCATACTAACACTAAAAACTGACTAATTTGACTAAAAATATTTTAGTATAGTATGTTAAAAAAAGTCATAGTTTAGTATGTTAAAAAGATATTGTTTAGTATGTCAAAAATATCATAGTACAGTATGTAAAAAAATCACAGTATATCATTTCAAAGATATGTCAGAAAATTATGTCAAAAAAATATCAAAGGATAGTATGACAAAAAATATAGTAAAGCATATCAAAAATTACAAATATCAGTATAACATGTCAAAAAAAATAGTATAGTCTGTCAAAAATATCATAGTACAATATGTCAGAAAATATCATAGGATAGGATGTCAAAAAATACCATAGGATAGCATGTCAAAAAACATCATAGTATAGTATGTCAAAAAATATC